ACCATCATCTGCGGATGTGACCAACATGTTTGGTTATACGGAGCTTGCGTTATATTACACGCCACTTGATTACGCACGTTCTGTGGTTTCGATACTTGATCCAATGTGACACTATTCGAGGTCACGGTTACTACTGAGTTTGTCGAATTTATCACCGGCGAAGAAATTCGTTGTGGCACAAAATCTTCGTTGTTATCACGCTCGTCGTGAGTACGCATATGCATTTCGGTTAGTGTTTTTTCTAGTTCCGCGATATGTTGCATTAAGATTGAATTATCGTTAGCACTCTTATAACTTTCTTCTGAATAAAACATTTCTAATCGATTTATTAGTTCTGCTTTATTTTCCCGTGAAGAAATGTTAACGTTCGAGCACCGTTTTTTTAGTTCGTGTGACTTTAATGTACGGAAATTTTCCATTGTGTACCGGTATTGTTTTTATTTCGTTGCCGGGGTTTCGAATAGCAATGAAAGAAATAAAGGACAAACACAAAAATTTATTTTTGATTTTTATTGAAGTTTGGCTGACCATACAACGCTGTTTCGAGTATTGCCAAGTACTCTTCATCAGCGGTCTTTGGAATAATCGAATTTTTATTTAATTAGTTTATAGTCCGTATATAATTTTTTAGGACTGCAAGTGCCAGGCTTAGAACTCGTGCCTGTCAAATTAGAAGCGATGACTAATTGTGTTTAACCACAAGAAGCCAAGACTGCACAAACTTTCAATGCTCAAGTTCCAGATTTTATTGTCACTTATTTTTATTTAATTAGTGACACCAACCAAAGCACTTGCCGTGCTTTAAATTGGAACGAGCTTATAAACTACAGCTTTATTTTGGAAACACAAGTTCAACGAATTGAAAGTTAACTTTTTGGGTTCGCCTATTCTTTATTTTTTCAAAGCTACTCTTTTTGTAGAGACATTTTGTAATGCATATTGTTTTACTTACTATATGTAAAGCGACCATTCTGGTGCTTTTTACAAAGAAGCTATGCTATGTTATTCTACAAATCCGCTTTCGCGGTTATGAAAAGCTGAACAATATTATATTTTAACATATTGTTCTTATTTTTCACAAGTCTAATTTTTGAGTAAAGTATTCGAGAATAAAGTACTTAGAGGTGTTTTGAATGGCAAAGAAAGAAATAAAGGACAAACACAAAAATAAAACCTGGAACTTGAGCATTGAAAGTTTGTGCAGCCTTGGCTTCTTGTGGTTAAACACGATTAGTCATCGCTTCTAATTTGACAGGCACGAGTTCTAAGCCTGGCACTTGCAGTCCAAACAAATTATATACGGACTATAAACTAATTAAATAAAAATTCGATTATTCCAAAGACCACTGATGAATAGTACTTGGCAATACTCGAAACAGCGTTGTATGGTCAGCCAAACTTCAATAAAAATTAAAAATAAATTTTTGTGTTTGTCCTTTATTTCTTTCTTTGCTATTCAAAACCCCTCTAAATTTATAATTATATTTATAATAATATAATAAATAATATTTATTTGTTTTAATATCTTACTCGAATTCTGCATTGAGAGAAGCCGCTTGCCATACATATGCAACATTTTATCAAGCACAGTGTATTTTTTCAGACATTATTAATTATTTTGTTTATTTTTTTGTTTTAGCAACTTTAAAAAACATGAAATAGCTTTACGTAACATTTTGAGTTAAAAATCACACAAAAATAATTTTGGCCGCCTAAATTGGTCAAATACCTCAGTGTGCGTCGTCCAACATATTCGTACGAGGAGCAACCGATTAATGGTTGTTATAACTGCTGGAAAAGTGGCCATAATCGCAAATTGTGTCAGAATCCGAAGTACACACCGAAACTTAAGAATGCTATAACTGTTGTTATGATCATGAATTATGTAGATAATACAAATATCGTTGAGGATTACACAAAAAGTCACAGCAGTAGCTCGAAACATAGTGCTACAACACAGGAATTTATTAAAAAGGAAGTACAAAAGATTGAATCGCGTCTTAGAGAAAAAATCCAGAACGATTTGAAACTGTTGAAACATAATATATTAACTAAACGATCAAAAACTGTCAAACATATATCTCAGAAGAATGAAGCAAATAAAAAATTGCAAAAGGTAACAAAAAATACTACTAAAAACTATTCGTGAAGAATTGAACCATAAGAATAAAGAAATAGGTAATGCAATGTCGGTATTACATGAAACAGTCGCAAATAGAAGCAGAATGTCAGTCTATGAAACTAGAAATAGCACAATGGAACGCTCATTCCGTCAAAGCAAATCCAATAAAAATTAACTGGAAGAAGAAATTTTATGAATTCTATAGATACAGCTTTCGAATCATTATGAGAAAACTTTTGGAATTGATACTTTGGTAAAGAATCTAGCATAAATGTCTGAATATATGATTGATATACAAGATACAAAGTTAGTTTGGAATCATGAAAAGAAAACTTTAGAGGCAGATATTTCTCAATACGTTTTACAGTGTGATGAGTTAATTAAGAACAATGAAATACTATTAAACTAATTAGAAAATTACAAACAAAAACCTTCTGAAATATATCGAGGCCCGTACGTCATACACAAGGTTTTGGCAAACGATAGTTATGTTGTTCGAGATGTAGACAACTGTCAGATTACGCAAATGCCTTATAATGACGTTGTTGAGGCAGCACGAATGAGAGGATGGTTAGCGGGCGAAATTTGGAACCAGAAATTTTATTGAACGATTGTGGTCAATCGTTACATCAGGATGACCGAACTGTAACATAATTTTCGATATCATTTAAAAACAATCTAGCAATCGTTTGACACTAGAGAATTAGAAATATATTGTGAGAAGTCAGTTAGTTTTTTACATTTGGTACAGTGTGTTACAGTTTAGTTTAGAAAGTAACTAAGTGATAGAATACTTAATTACTTATGTAGAATACTTAAATACTTAAGTAGAATACTTAAATAGAATACTTGAATTAAATATAAAAATATACATATAAATTGAATATAAATACAATTAATTATTATTTTTTGTTGTCTTAAATTCTTTCCAATAAATATGTTATTATTTATGTTTTTAATTTCTTCCTTTTTATTTACTTCCAAACTACAATTTTCCATTAAATTATTATTTAATAAATGTTTTAAGCAAGTTTTCTTTACTTCATTTAATTTTAAATCTTTTTGTTATGTACAATATTTTCGTTATCAGTAATTAAGTTTTCTTTGTTTATTATTAATATGTCCAAATTTTGTGATTTAACAATTATTGAAATATTTATTATTAAAAAGGCTGAAAATTTTAATATTATTAGTGTTTACGTAAATGCTTTCTTTCTTACAAAATTAGTTTTATATCTTTTTATTATTGTATTACTTTTCTTTTTAGTTGTGATATAATTATCATCTACCTATACTATTTTACCTTGACACTTCTTAAAAGGATTGAAACTTTTTATCTTATTATTAATTTTAATATATTGGGGATTTACCTCCTGATTCTTATGTGTCTTATTAATTTTTTCAATATTTTTCTTTTTATTTTCCTGAACATTAATTTTTATTAGTTTTCCTTCGAAAAATACATCTTTTCGTATTTCTTTAATTGCAGAGTGTAGTGTTTTATAATTATAATAAAAACTACTTTATGTACTTTCGACTTGATGATATGGTTCTTCTCCATCCTTTTCTGTTCGTATTATTCTTCAATTTTCATTTAGTGTTTCATGAAATCTTTCTAAATCTGCTATTCCTGTTTTAGAATGGCATTCAATAAATTTCACTCCTTCTCCTTGTAACCAATTTTTAAAAGAATACGAATTAAAACAACTGTCTCTATCTGCTTTTAGTTTCTTAGGTTTACCCATATTATTAAATATATATATCATTGTTTTCTTGGCTTCTAACCAATCAGAACTAGTCATTTTGCAGGTTTGTGCATATTTTGAATAGACATCGATATAAGTAAGGTATTGTACATTATCAAAAGACCAAATATCTATTATATATAATTCTCTTATACTCTTTACCTCAGGAGTTATTTTGAATTCGTGTTTAATGGGATTTCTATCATTTCTTGGTACTGCACAAATGTTACAATTAGTAATTATTTTATTTATTTCTTTCTTTAAGTTTGGGTAATTGTAATGTTCACATTTAAGTTTCGATTAAGACTAGTTTTTATTTATTTTATTTTAATTTACAAGCTTACAAGCGAACTTAACTATAATTCGAACTCTACTCTCTTATTTTGTACTCTTATAAAAAGCTTATCCTATTTATATAAAAGCTTAAACTCTACAGCCCTCCTTCTAAGATTATAATTATACATCTATTATAATTAAACACGATATACAAAAATAAAAATATAAAATTTTCCATTAAATTCATTTTAATTCACTTTAAAAATTATATAATTACTAGCTGACCCGGCGAACGTTGTTTCCCCTTGCAATTAATTTTCCTGGCTCAGTTGAGTTATAATATTTGTTGTTATTCAACTTAACCTTTAGCATTTTAATGCGAGAATTATTTTGAATTGATTTTTTCTTTTGAACTGCAAAAAGTCCGCATACATTTCTTATGTTACAAATATTTTCATGTTACTTCAAATCCTTATAAGCACTACATTTTAAATAAAAAAAGGTTTTTTTAATATTATATTAATAGTTTTATTATGAGCTCTTATGTTATCTTAAAGCGAAATCATGAACAATATTTTTTGTCAAGCCATTTTGACCGTATATATATAGATCAGAAGGTTTTCCAACAGGGGAACATGCAACATATAGTTGCCCATGCGAAAAACATGGATTTGCCAAATTCAGTCCACATACTTTTAATGTTTGACCTTGAGATTTATTAATTGTCATCGCAAATGCTATACAAATTGGAATTTGCAATCTTTTGAATTGAATTGAAACATCGGTTGGTATAATTGGTATGCGTGGAAGCAATATATTTTCTCCTCTGAGTTTTTCGCTTAATATTGTTGATTCAATTAAGTTCCCATAATTCTTTTAATTACTAATCTTGTTCCATTACATAATTTTGGTAGGTTTAGATTGTGTAATAAAATGATTGGTGAACCAACTTTTAAAACTGAATTTTGTGGTGGTAGTCCTGGCAAATCAAGCCAATTTAAGAACTCAGTGGGATAATTCACAATCTCGTTTTCATCTACCACTGTGTCGATGGATTTTAACGAAATTAAATTACCAGGTAGCATAGCCAAGTTCTTGGCAGCCAGAATCGCTCTACTTTGAAGCCATTGATGGTTCTGATCATTTTGATATATATGAGGAAATACGCTTTCTATTAATTCCTCTTTCGAATTAACAATTTTACAAATATTTTCTGGCAATTTAATAAAGTGCGTATTTTCTTGAAGACTTACGTTTCCATTAACAATATCCAGCAATTGTTTGGCAAACAGTTCTGCAGCTAAATCTCTCTGTAGTCCAACAGGCATGTTTTCGGTAATTCGCAATATATGGACACTTCGCCACAAAATAGATGATTTAAGGCAAGTATTGATTTCATCAGCATAGGTTGAACGTGGAATAACTGGCAATCTTTGTCTAAAATCACCTGCCAATAAAATTAAAGCGCCTCCAAAAAGTCTATCGTTGGCATTTAAATCTTTAAGTATTCGATTTAATGCTTTCAATGAATACTTATGTGTCATTGTGCATTCATCCCAAACAATGATGTGACATTTTTGAAATACTTTAGCCATATTGGAATGTTTTTTTATATTGCATGCTGCATTTTCACATGAATGTATGTTAAGTGGCAACTTTAGTGCCGAATGGGCTGTTCTACCACCATCTGACAATGTCGCAGCGATTTCAGATGATGCTAGTGCTAAAGCGATATTACCTTGCATCCTAACCTTTGCAAGAATGACTGATATTAAGAAAGTTTTTCCAGTTCCACCTGGTGCATCCAAGAAAAAAAAGCCGCCTTCTTTTGCCGCAATTGCGTTCCAAACCCGATCATAAATGAACTTTTGTTGGTGCGTTAAGATTTCTTCGCTTCTTGTAACAAATTCAACCAAATCTTCAGAGCTATACTGAAGTACGATTTAGCGAATACAATCCTAATAATTTAAGTGGTTGATTTGATATAAGTAAACATAAGTCTTCGTTCATAATCAAAGGTTCGTTATAAATTTCACGATTGAATTGAATATTTAAGTCATGATTTGTTGTTCTATGTCTATGTAGTATATCTTCACTCATTGAGCATTTATATTTTTCCCACAATTCTTTGGGATTATTTGGAAAACATGTTGTCAACAATATAGCGAATAATTGACGAATTCTCTACATGCATCATGATATGTATTGTATAGCTGACCATTGACAGTTCTCAAATACTCATACGATGTTGGACCGCGTACATTTATCAAAAGCAGTCTTAAAAAAAACACTCTCGTTGTTTTGGATGAACAGTATATAAACGACCCAGTGTGTTTGCTGAAAATAATCCTGGATAACCATTGACTGCAACACCTCGTTTACGTGGCTGCCACTTTTTTAAAGTTTTGTTCCATGTTTAATATGTTGGAACTTCCGAATAAAGTAAAGTTCTTGCGTATTGCCCAAAAATATTTTGTTGTTTATTTAATTCAAAGAACTCGATTAACGTTGTTTTTGGTGCTGTTAATGCCCTTTCTATTGCATTTTGTTCATTGAAATAAACACGTTGACCATTTAAAGATGTATACTTAAATGTATTACAGCTGGATCTCGTTCGTGTATTAGAAAACCAAAAATTCGCCATATGGCTTCGTTACTGCTGATATATCTGCCCATTTGGTGGCGTGTTATTTCATAATTTTCGTTTATATTTTGAACTGCAAATACTGTGATATGGACTACCTTTATGAACATATTTGCAAATGAATTTTATTGATTTTACGGAGCTACAAAATTCTACATTGATGTGCGCTTTATATATCTTGGCGAATATGGCACTACCCATCTATTGTCTACTTCAACTTCATATTCAATATTTCTCAACTTTAGTGAAAAGTATTGGCCTCCATTTTCCGAATTTCTTCGACGATATATAGGATAGCCATCAATTCAAATGTATATATATCCAGTTTAATTTTTCAAATATATTGAAATCTTTGCTAATGTAATAAATTTTTTTTATTTGAAAAATATAAAAAGAAAATCAGTATCATTCAAACTGTCGGACAGTTTGAAACGGAAATGATTAAATCAGTATCATTCAAACTGTCGGACAGTTTGAAACTAAAATTATTAAACTTAGTATTTAAGTTAAAATTATAACTAATATCGAATGTTTTAATTGCCTATGTTACGCCGAAAAACTATATAAATAAGATCTGAGAATATCAAGAAGATTAGTTAAGTCATTAAAAAGTTATTGAGTAACGAACAGACGAACAAACGATTTTATACATATGTAGATAATTATGAAATATTTAATAACAAATTATTACTCCATATAAATTAAATTATATCCATAAATTATTCCTTATAATTAATCTTAGTTTTACGTTCTCGCAGACGCGAGCAACCACTATCTACATTTACATCCTTAGTCACATCCTCCCCCGTAGTAGCGACGGCTGACTCTACATTTAGGCTTGATTCTTCATCGGCACCGTTTAACTCCTTTGTAGTTGAGTCATTTTTCATAGTACTACCATTATAAGCCATCATCTGGTCGACGTGGCGCTTAATCACCATATTAGTTCTTGATATTGTGCAATCATATGTTCGTCGGCCTAAACGCTCTTTAATTAACGCTTCCTGCCATCCTGCCTTATTTGGATCTGAAAAATCGCGGAGAAAGACCGGTGTGCCTTCCACCGGTGTGCCTTCCATCTCTAGACCCCCGTGGTTTTTAATTTTACTAAGCTGATTTTTACTCACTCTGTCTTTGACTAAAGGTGGTTTTAATAAATCGAACCGCGTTTTCATCTCTCTACCTAACATAAGTTTAGCTGGAGACTCTCCTGTTGTACAATGTTTCATAGTACGATAATCAAATAAAAATCCTTTAAGCACTACGTCTAAACTTCCTTTTTTACCAGAGCTCAAACTTGCTTCAAGAGATTTTTTACAGGTTTTGACAAAATTTTCGGGTTTCCCATTTGTAGGTGGAAACCCTGGAGGTGTACGAATCTGTTTGATGAAATTACCTTTTAAAAACTGTTGGAATTCCCATGCTGCAAATTAGGATCCATTATCGCTTACTATGGCATCCACTAAACCAAAAACATAGAAATATAAAGACATGTAATTTGCCTCTGTTAAAAAAATCATGAATTCTGAAAAGGTACACGCAATGGGAAAAACATGTCTGTTCAAACGTATAAACAATCGAACTTATTATTTTATGTATGATCAATGCTATTTTGTTAGTGAAGTCAGCAATCAAACCAATAGCGAACATGTTGTATTTTGCTTGGACAAAATCATATAGAAAAAACTCTAATATCAGAGCAAATGCACACATAGCTTCTAGTTCATGCCTATGTATTTTTTTTGGTAAATTTTTTCTACTCTTCTTTTTATTGCACACTTACTAAATATATATATGCATGGGTAGGTGAGACAATATTTTTGAATGTGATGTTTGGATTTTGTTTGTGTGCTTTTTTTTTAAATTATATGACTGGCTTCGTGTGCATAAAATACACAAGTCTTCCAAATTATTTAAAATTTGATTTTTGCTGAAATTTTATACTGGCTTCATACTAAAATATGATGTTTGCCTATGACATGATACGAAAACACCGGAGCAGCGCAACCACAGTTGTTATTAGTGTAAATGCTCTTAATATGTTTGGCTGTCAAGACTCGGCTATGCCATACAGTAACAATAGTTTCATGAAGAATATTCATAAACAACATATACAATAATTGATTATTTTTTATATATTAAGTTTTTATTATTATATTCTTATATCAAATACAATAGAATTATTGACTAAATTTTATTACTTATATTATATAGAATATAACTATAAACCGTAGATAACTAATTATACATTAACTTTAATTAACTAGAACTATTAACTAAATTTATTTATATATTACTTATAACTATTTAAAATAAACTTACTTATATAAGGGTGAATAATATTATTTATTGTTAATTTTTCTAATCATTCATAAATATTATTAGACTAATATTTTTACATAAATATAAATTTTTACAATTTTTTTAATTTATTTTTAAATTTTGCATTATCTTGGCTACTTTTTAATAGCCACTTTGAGTTCTTATATAATAGAACTTTTATTAGGAAGTCCAACAAAATTTCGCGATGGCTCCCGCACATCGGCTCCTCACACCAATTTTCGCTTTGTACATTTTTTTCAATTCTTCTTTTATGCTATTTATTATAATATTTTTAATGCCATTTGAATTATATTCCTTATATTCCATATATGTAACAAATTATTAAAAATATTATAATAAATAGCATAAAAGAAGAAATGAAAAAAATGTACAAAGCGAAAATTGGTGTGAGGAGCCGATGAAACTATTGTTACTGTATGGCATAGCCGAGTCTTGACAGCCAAACATATTAAGAGCATTTACACTAATAACAACTGTGGTTGCGCTGCTCCGGTGTTTTCGTATCATGTCATAGGCAAACATCATATTTTAGTATGAAGCCAGTATAAAATTTCAGCAAAAATCAAATTTTAAATAATTTGGAAGACTTGTGTATTTTATGCACACGAAGCCAGTCATATAATTTAAAAAAAAAGCACACAAACAAAATCCAAACATCACATTCAAAAATATTGTCTCACCTACCCATGCATATATATATTTAGTAAGTGTGCAATAAAAAGAAGAGTAGAAAAAATTTACCAAAAAAAATACATAGGCATGAACTAGAAGCTATGTGTGCATTTGCTCTGATATTAGAGTTTTTTCTATATGATTTTGTCCAAGCAAAATACAACATGTTCGCTATTGGTTTGATTGCTGACTTCACTAACAAAATAGCATTGATCATACATAAAATAATAAGTTCGATTGTTTATACGTTTGAACAGACATGTTTTTCCCATTGCGTGTACCTTTTTAGAATTCATGATTTTTTTAACAGAGGCAAATTACATGTCTTTATATTTCTATGTTTTTGGTATGTATCTAATAACATAACTTTGTTGCGCAAGCGATATTGTTGCTTGGGCGATAAGCGACATAAATATGCTAGCTAAGCACATTCCATGTTGCTGTATAACAAAGTATATCTTCAATGCATATACGCTACACCTCCCTTCTTTTTAAGAATGAGTTTATTTGAAACAAATAAAGGAAAGAAAATTACATAATATCATGTACTTTACATATAAGTTTAGATATATACATATATATATTTATACTTAAACAATATCATTTATAATGTTATCCTAAATCTAATGTATTATTTATGATTAATTATTTTTTTTTTGTTTTATATTCCTTTATTTTTTGTTTTTTTTTTGAATAAACTCATTCTTATTGTAGGGTTTTGTTTTTCTTTTTTTGTTTGAAATATATTTAAAAATTCAATACATATAAATTAAAAAATTTTTTTTTTTTTATTTATTATACAATCTAAGTCTGTCTAAGTGTATCTTACTTATTTTGTCCTTATTGTCTTGAACTAATGCGTTATTTTTATTATCTATATTTACTATCTTAAATGGGCCCATATATAAACTATCTAATTTATGTCCTACTTGTTTAACTAATACTAAATGCATTCCTATCATATAAATTTTTACTTATTTGTTTTCTATTTTCTATTGCTTTTATCGCGCGTTTATTTGCGTTTTGTAAACGAAATTTTATATCTTTGTCGTACGCGGGATCTATTTCTAAAGTGTTAAGAAAGTCATAGATGGTGGGCGATTTACCGAAAACCAATTCATAAGGACAATACTCATGTACAATTGAAGGTGTAGTGTTATAACAATATGTAAAATATTGTAGCCACTCATCCCAATCCATTTTTCCTATGGAAATGTAGGATCTTATGTACTCGTTAAATGTCCTATGATTTCGTTCTACTGTACCTAATGATTGATGGTGGTACGCGGTTGACGTAGTATTTTCTACGTTTAATAGATTGCATATTTCATCGAAAATTTTATTTTTATACTCGGTACCCATGTCTGTAATAATTTTTTTCATAGGCCCGTAAGTCAGTATAAAGTTTTCGAATACTGCTTTTGCTATTGTTTTTGCACTTTTTTCTGCAATTGGTACCGATACCAGATATTTTGTTAAGTCACATATCATTGTGACTGCGTATGAATTACCTTTTTCCGATTTTGGAAATGGTCCAATGGTATGTATCAAAACTACATCAAAGGCAGCAGTTGGTGTATCGGTTATTATCATTTCTGTTTTTGTTTTTGTCAAAGATTTATTTCTTTGACACTTGTCACATTTTTTGACATATTTAGTGACATCTTTAGTAATGTTTTTCCAGTAATAATACTGTCTTATTTTATTCAATGTCCGCGTTATCCCTGGGTGGCCTCCCCAGATTGGATCATCATGGTATTTTTGTAATATTTTTATTTTCTCATCGTTATTTACAATTTTTTTTATAATTGGCGTCAGGGCTATTTCAACTTTCTCGAGAATTTTATTACCTTTCTTTTTATATTCATTTACCCGGGTATTAGTAAATATATTGTCATCTAATGACTGCTGCAGCTTTGTTATACTATTGAGTAAGAATATTATAGAGTCACAATGACTCAATTTTTAAATTTTCAGCAACAGGCACGGGAGGGCGGAGTGAAGATTTTACTTCTTTCTGCGCTGCTGCTAGATCGGCCGCGCTTGTGCTTGTTCTTTCTAAAAATTTTACTATTGATGAATGAAAACAAAAAACAGATTTGCTTGTTTACGAAGAAAAGAGTCAAATTAGTTTTTGGTGTAATTATTTGTTTTTGCAATTAATGCTTGGCAGTAGCAAACAGCACGTAAAAATTTCATGCATTTAATATCACTTTATAATGCAAATATGAGAAACATCCCTACTTGTTTGGAAGTTTACTGACCTACATATATATGTATGTGCATAAATATATGTATATTTATAAACATAAACATTTATAAACATTGGAAGAATATGAATATTTTTTGATCTTATTTTAGGAACATTTGAAGCAAATGCAACCAATTTCAATTTTTTGTTTTAATCAGGAATAATAACAGTTATATGTATGTTATATTAGTATTAGCTAAAATAAGATAATTGTATGTAATTGACCGTGTGCGAGTTCAAGTAATTGATGGTAAATTGAGGAAAATGATAAATTGTGTCCGTATGGCAGCGAATGTTGGTATTTACCAGAATTTCGAGTAGGGTAAATTAGGTAAATTAGGTATTACCATTGGGAACATTTTATAAGATGTACATTAAGACCGAAAAGTTTTCGGAAATTCTCATTTAAAATTCGCGCGCTGTATATTTTTCGATATTTTAAGTTTATGTAGTTTGGCAGCAATTAAGGACAATTACTATGCCAAAAATGAGCGCGATTTGTCAGACAGTTCGTTTACGGCAGCTGTTGAAACCAGTTCACCTCAGTAGTGCGTTGCGAAAAAAACAATGGAAAAAAATATTGAACAAAGAGTTTGCATCAAATTTTGTGTTTCGAACGAAATTTCGTGTGCAGAATCGTTGCGAATGCTACAAAAGGCTTATGGGGAATCAGTTTTATCGAAAACTCAAGTTTATGAGTGGTACAAAGCCTTTCAGGACGGTCGTACGACCGTCGAAGACATTTCGCAACGCACTACTGAGGTGAACTGGTTTCAACAGCTGCCGTAAACGAACTGTCTGACAGATCGCGCTCATTTTTGGCATAGTAATTAAGGACAGTGCTGCCAAACTACATAAACTTAAAATATCGAAAAATATACAGCGCGCGAATTTTAAATGAGAATTTCCGAAAACTTTTCAGTCTTAATGTATAATAAAAAAATAAATAAATTTGAAAACTTTTAACATAAGTGCAGTGCAAAAAACCTTAGGAAATTTTAGTTTACTTTACATTAATTTACCGAGTTGGTTTATTGGGGTCTGCAGACTGCATCGAATTGAATTGCTGGACTTTATTCTGCTTATATTCGTAAGCAATTCCTTTGGATGGTATATATATCTAATAACGGCAAGAACTAACAAATGTGTTCTCTTATTGGTGGTGGTATTCCTCTATTTCTGAGAGTTGTTTGTTGTCGTTTTGTCATTGGGCCTTGTTGTGGTAGGATTTTAGGCAGGTTTAGAAGTATTTTCGGAAAATCTTCTGCAGGTAGTTTTCTTTCTTCTTTTTTACCACTCTATTTTCCAATTATTTATGTGTGATAATATATTTCTTTATCATTTATATGCAAAAAATCTTTTTGTCGAAAATACTAATGTATATTAATATAAAAAACTAAAGTTCTTCAAATTCTTGAGGACGATTATAAATTATAGTCGAAATAGAGAACAAATAATAAAAAAAATATTTGAAATAGTAAAAAAAATCAATTTTCTATATTATTTTTTTTAAACAAAATTTCTTCGTTAACATGGACTAGGCCTCCTGGGGACACCATGTAAAAAAAACGCGCGATGCATTATACCTCAATGGTGGTCTGGAAATTAGTACGCAACTAGTAACATGAAAATTGTCATTTCTATTTAATTAACGATAACCTTTCATGTATGTCGATCTAGTAACTATCAATGATTATGCAGTTATTTAAATAAATCTCCATTTCTCGGCAATTATCCGCTTGCAAAAGCTAATAGTCGATATACTTGTACCCCTTGTACTGATATTCCTTTTATACTTATTCAGTATCTGTGAAGCGCATATATTTGCGAAATAGCGTTAATTATTCAAACTGCCATATAAACCGAAGGTTTAATTTTAGTTTTTTTTATTCATCTTAAATTGATTTCTATAAAATTTTATTATAATACATTTGGCAAAACTAAAGCATACTATTTTTAAAAATATTTTACCAATTATTGGTAAATATTTTATATACATATGTGTTCTTATGACTGTATTACTTCTTAAGATTTAATATAAATATTATGTAAATGCGATAAAATTGGAAATCCATACTTAATAACGATTAATTACGAAAACAATTATAACTCTTTCTTCAAATGCCATCACAATAAAAAATTGTTTCAATGCTGCAAATAAAATTTTGATATCTCTTGCCCCCGAAATTACATACAAAAATATCAATGTCCATATGTTCATATTTAAACACAAAGCAAGTAGGCATGAATGAATATAAAATAGAGAATAATTCTTTTTACTACTTACATTATAATTCAAGGAAGCAATAACAACACCTCAAAGAGCAAAAAACACAAAAAAGAAATATAAAAATTTCTTGAACCTCTGAAGCAGAGAATATTGCAAAATCTTCTTTGGTATGAAGCAAAAACGACTGAAGCGACGTCGGCAGAGATTTGAGTGATTTGGGTACCCAGTAGTAGATACCTAGAACAAAAATTAATTTCTATGGCATTGTGACTCTATAATATTTTTACTCAATGGTTATACCAAAGACTATTCAATACATAGACTCGTTATGACTCAATTTTAAATTTTGCATCTTTATGATGCGAAAAGGGTTGGGGTGTCAAAGCATTTCATAGTCAACGACTGTAAAGAAATTTGAATTGTTTTCGAGTCATTTTGTGCGCTCTGAACCATAGTTGTTGGTATTTTTATGCACAAACGTGCATTTAACGAGAGAGAAATGAAGAAGAGCAACATATGAGAATATCAAAACAATAAATGTTTGCCAAAATACCAAAAACTGAAGTTTTGTTTTTTTTGGTTGGTTTTCAATGCATTTGATTTCATTCATTTTAGAATTTTTTGTGAAACCTAAATTTCTTCTTTGTATAGAAGTAAACACCACTGCATTATTTTGTAAATTATTATAATTTGTTTAAAGTTTTATGAAATTTTAGTGAAATTGAGATTTTTTAACTACTAATTGAAATATAATTTTTTATATATATTTAAGCTTAGAATATTGTTATCTACAACCATGTTTAATTTTTAAAAGTAAAATTTTAGAAGTAATATTTTGCAAAAATCATATTTTTATCGCTTTTTTCTCTTCTATCTGCGACACCCAAAAAATGTATCCAAGTTTTTCTATAAAATTTTGCCTACTAATAGCCAAACGTTAAAGGTTCACTAAAATTTGTTGTTCCCACTCTATGTTTTATATCTATTTCAGATCTCAGAAAGTACTGAATAATTATGCAAAATATAACCTTCAATAAATCTCTTAACTTTTAACAATAAATTCAATAAGTAGTAATATAAAGACATTTCTTATATTTATAATTATATCTATATATAATTACGCTAACATAAAAGTTTGTTACCCCGTTTTAATTGTGTTGCCGTTGACATATATGGATAAAATTTATACCGTTGGAAAGGTGAAGACGTGCAGAAGAGCACAACGTTATTTTTTCGCATGTACGTTAACGGAAACACAGGTAAAAATGCGTTGGCGTAAATTTAGCGACTACAACAACAAAATACATGTGTTTTTCAAAGTTTTTTTTTGTGACGAATTGTTAATTGTTTACGGTGGATTTGTGTGTACGATTTTTTTCCACTTTTGGAAAAAAGTGGACTTTGTGTGTTTGGACTTTGTGTGTTTGGACTTTGTGGATTCTGTTACAATCAGATTTTTAAAGCTCATTAAATTTCAAATATTGTTTGTGAATAAAAAAAACGCATTGAAGTGAAAATATCCTTTGATATCAATCGTTTTATTTGCATTGTGTGATAGTTAAATTTTAATTGTGATAAATTTTAATTTTGATAAATTTTAATTGTGAAATGTGGATAGTTAAGGTTAATGAGTTTGAAATTTTTAGATTTATTTCAAGTGTATTGTGTGATAGTTAAATTTTAATTGTGAATTGTGTGATAGTTAAGGTTAATTAATTGGTTGAATCGACATTAACAACACTTCAATTCGAGAGATATTCATTTTGTACAATGAAAGAACATTATGATAGAGTATGCAATGCACAAAAAGAGATTTGTATGGCAATTATCGTGAATCGTGATACAGATATACGAAGATATAATATTTACGACTATAGATGGTGAACCACCATTTGAGAGAAATATGATATCTTTTTTAAAAACAAATGGTGTAGTTAAGAATGTATTAGTATTAGATTCTGCTTTGGAACCATTGGCATATCCTTTACTATTCCCAAATGGAGATTTTGGTTGGCACGTTAATATATAGCATAACGTGCAACATAATTCTAATGGTAGGCAGATTCGAAATAAAGTTACAATGTTACAATTTGCATGCTTCAGATTTGCAAT